TTTAAAATGACCCCCAAGCATAGTGCTGAAGGGCTAGCTAGTGTTCCTAAGCACAACACGGCTGTCATGTGCCTTATGGGAGAAAATACGTGTTAACTTAGTTAAGCTCTGTTCAGGCATGAGTTACAGTGGCCATGAGTTCAATGTTACAGAATCAATAATATGTATTGAATAAGGTATCTTTAAATAGAAACAACACATAAAACAAGATTATGTATTGACTAGTTGACAAAAAACATTGTGACCAGAGGCTTGTAGAGACCTAACCCTGTATATCCCCTAGGAGCAATTGTTCAGTATTTGCTAATTCAGTGTTGGCGGCAACTTTATACACCACACTACATCAAATAATGAGAATTGACCATACTTAAATACTTATAACATTGTTTAGAACTGTATAACCTAAAATACTAGAAAGAATGAATTTGCTCATGAATACTATTTGAATGGGCATAGACCAAGATTGTGCTAAAATTTAATGATATATTTTATAATCATCAAACATATTCTGCCTATTTAAAACATTTTGTTGATTCCAGAATAATCAACTCTTATTCCATAAATAAATGATGAACTACAACATAGTTTGATGTGGCTCATATATGAAGACACTACTGCCTAAGCTATTATAGCTCTCTTGGAAACAAATTGAATTCTAAGAGCCTATTTTTGTCAGTTATTTCTTATGAAGAAAAAATGTGTTCAAAACCACACCATAAGTGTAAAGGCAAGGAATTCTCAAACATATTATTTGGCTATAGGAAGCATTCTTAGAACTAAGAAACATCTGAAAAAAATTAAGCAATATGGAATTAGAAACTAATTTCATCTTTTTGAGAAAGAAGATGTTCACAGTTGAGTTGCCTGATGATCTGAGTTTATTTTTGTAGAGTTATTGATCCTTCCAAAGATCTCATTGAATTGTCCTAAAATAAATTTCTTTCTAGAGGATGAAATCTCCTGAACAATAAACTGAGCTATATGTTTCCTCCTGGGGGGCAATAAAAAAGAAAACTGGGCTGGAAGTCAAGAGCCCAGTATTCCATTCCTGACTATCACATTTAGTCATTCTGAATGAGTCATGCATGTGCTTTCATGACAGCCATTTCTTTGTATATTTCTTACTTAGAAAGAAGAACTATAGTAGGTGGTCAGATGCCCACATCAGTTGGCACAAAAAAAGAATGACAAAGCTCCTGAACCTGACTGCAGATTTGTTGCAGTGCTGACATGGTAACAGTAACAATTGTGAATATTTATCCTCCACTTGCCAGGCACTTGTCAATAATGCCAGGCACTGTGCCAGGCGGTTTACATGTGGTAACCCAATTAATCCTCCCAAGAGCCACACAAGGCATTTCCATTTTCAGAGCGGAAAATAGAGGATAGAGAGGCCTACCAACTTGTCTGAGATCGTTCTGCTAAGAGGCGAGGGTACCCCATTTTGAATAGTACATTAACTCCATTGCATGAGCTCTTAACCACTGTTTGTTGTCGTGTGTGATTTCAGGCATGATTTTAACTTTTCACAGTTTTGAAGTTCTCATGTGATAGTTTAAAATATATTAAGTCACACACCACTGATCAATAGAGGGGGATTTGTTCCTGGTATCTCTCAAGAAAGATGATTAAAATAATGGCCATAATCTTAATAATGTCACTGAATCCATCAATTAATAAATAAGATCAGTCTTGGGTTCAGAAGATACTGAGATTTTGAATTTTTAGCTATGTACAGCAAATGGGATAGTCACAAATAAGTATATTAAGAAAAAATTGAAGAGAGCAATTGTTCTTTGTTCTGTTTGGTTTATTTGAGCAAAATCTTTGACAAGACAGGAAAGTAGCTGTTTGTAAATTTTGAAGTCTAGGGACTCACTGAATTCATTCTGAAGGTGCCCAATGTGATGCCTATATCAAATGTAGCTGAACGAAATTGTATCAACCAAACCATAGCATTCCAAAACAGACCAAGCTAGATGGTGCAGTTAATTTTTCTCAGATATTTCTCTTTCCCTGCCAAGCTGCATTTCTTTTTAATGAAGGGCATCTTATCATTAACTTATGAATGTGTAGGACATTTTTGTAGGGTGTGTTATGTTAGGAATGCTTTGAAATCAAAATTTATTCCATATATCCAGTCTTCAAGGACTTTTTTCCCCCATTATTAGATAAGCAGCACAGAGAAGCAGTAAAGACACCTAAAAGTACACCTAGATATCAGGGGGGAAGTTTTTTTGAGTTCTAGAAAGCAAAGACAAGAAATGAGAAGGATGGGACACCCAGGCTAGTCTTATGACTCTTGACCTCATACATCCTAGATGCAAATCAGTTCATCTTGATCAAGCGTCATGTGCTGATGCCTGAATGTGAGGACTGGGGAAAAGTACCCACCTGCTGCCTCTGTAATAGTCACCCACTCTCCTCCACCAGGTAACTGAAGGGGAGTTTGGGGGTCCTGGGGGCCCAGCAGGCTCACTGTTTCAGATGTGCCCCCAAGTACAGAGCCTGATGGGCATCGTTATCATGACCAACAGTGAGGGAATGGGTTTTAGGAAGTAGGTCTAACTTTGCATTTTTGCTTTAGCTAAGTTGGTCACGCAGTTGAGAGTGGAAGTTACTATGGGGCACTTTGATTTTAAAAGCAGAAAAAGGCCTTCAGATTGTGATAAGAAACTGACCGTTTTCAAGTGGTTGTTTAAAGTAGTTGGCAGCTTATAAAGAATTCACACTTAATAGCATTTTGCCAACAACTCCCCCATTATTCCTTATGGCTGGGGCCACATGACCTGCCTAATGAGTCTGTTTCCTAATGTGCTTAAACTCTCTATCCTCAGGATTCTTCCCTCTGCTTTCTGGGGAGGGCTTTCTGGTTCCCAAGTTTGATGTGTCCCTTCCTGTAGCTAGAGAAGAGAAAGGGAAGAGGGTCCTTGGGATCTTGGCCTCAAGTCTTTCTGAGAGCCAAAAGTCTTCTCTCATCTTCCCAGAGCAGCCCCACACCAGGTACACATGGGCATGTGTCTCAAGAAACACACGTGACAAATATTGTCTCACTTCATTGACTGTACATCAGAAATTTTCCACCTTTTACTGCACAGGAATGCCTGGAAGCTCTATGAACACAGAGCCCAGGTCAGTTTTGGCTCACTTGTGAATCCACTGTATTTTTACACAATGCTTAGCTTATAACAGATGCTCAGAATAAAATTTATCTACTGATAAGTGCCATTTATAACTGATTAAATATAGTGTGGTCATTGGTCCTCAAACTCTTGGACTAGAATACAGTTCCCTAGTATAACTTTAATTCAATGGAAAAAGCAGATTTGACCTCAGCAGTTCAACTCACTCTCCCAAGTTTGAGAGTTACCTGTACTGAAGAGACATTGTGGTTAGCTGCTGGGTGTAGACATGCATCATTTGTGTTTCCTTCATTTTTTTTCTTCTGTCACTCTCCTTCATTTCTGTGCTTTGTTTCTTCCCTATGACACTTCCTGAACAAAAATGGTGTTAGGATGGGGACGATAGGAAGTCACAAAAACAAGATTGGGTTACACAAGACCACTTTTTAGCCAGGTGGCTCTTCTTAAGGCTGGGATGACTTCAGCCCATTATGTGCATGATCTTCCATTAAGAAAGTTCATGGACAGACTATTTCCTTACATGGTGTAATTTTCTGCTTGGTTCTTGTGAAGTTTCTACTTAGGGAATATCCTTTCTTCCATTTGCAAATCAAAAGGTCCAACAACATCAAATCATATTAGAAATAAAATGGACCAATGGCTTCATTTAGGGAACATAGCAAATGTTTACTGTCCATATAACAATCCACAGCCAACAGCAACCTGTTCACTCACAGATACTGTAGTTTATGCAGTCTGCAAATAACCTCACTTTAGTGTTCATTTAAAAAGCAGGTTGATTCAAATACACCCCCCAGCATACAACACTTTGGTAGGGATTTTATGTAACATTCTTCGGTGGAAGTTGGAGTTGTTTGATCCCCAAAAGAAACTGGTAGAGATTAGTGTAACTCAAGAAATAGGCAGAAAATACGCAAGCAAGTGAAAAGACAAACGCCTAGCCGTGTTTGAACTGTTAGGAGCAAATGCGACCATTGTGGCCTTTAATGTTGACAGAAAAAGTTCAGAGTAGGACATCAGAACCAGAGGCTGTGAGATTATCTTTCAAAATGTAGTGTAGCATTTATTAGAGTCTGATGCTGTGCTTCGGTAGCTGTTGTGAAGTGTGGGGCTGTCCCCCCCGCTGCCCTGCACGTTCACTTGGCAACTGAAATGGATGCATTAGGCAGAGTTCAGAGAAGAGGACCCGCGTTCATTTCCCGCTAAACTCTAAAGTCCTAATGTGGGGGAATGGCGACGTCCTGCCAGAGGAGGAAACCCGAGTCGGGTCCCTCCGAGGGACTGATAAAGATGTCCCTCACGCCCTCCGGGGAGCCGGCACCCGGGCACCAACAGGCACGACGTGAGGACGGCCAGACTCGCCGACTGTGGCCACATCCCCAAGGGGCCGGGGCGCGCCTGCTGGAAGGTGGGAGGCGGAGTTGCTCCGCTTCTGGGATGAGACCAAAGGAATGAGTAATTGGAAATTCTGTAACTTAGACCCTTCTCCTAAACTCTTTAGCCCTTTCACCCCAAACCCCCTGCCGAGAGGCAAGGGCACCGGAGACAGGGGGTCGTGGTGGAGGGAGAGTCACGTTTCGGAGAGGGAAGTGAAATAAAGAGGGCGGCACCCGGGGGAACCTGTGCGTCATTGAGGGACCGAGGAGAAGCGCGGGCGCACGGGGTGGAAAAGGAGAAGTGGGAGCGAGAAGCCGGAGGGGGCGGCCGCGGAGTGCGGGGTGGCGGGGGGGCGTCGCGAAGCGCCTGAGCCTCTCCTGCCTTCTCCAGCCGCGCCCGGTCCGCCCGCAGCCTCGCGGCGCCAGCCTCGATCCTCAGCGCCCCGGATCCGGCAGGCGGGGCGCGCCCGTCGCGCGCAGAATGTGGCAGCCGACACGGCTCCGGCCCCGCGCGTCCTGGCACTGGGCGCTGGCGCTGCTGACTCTGGGCGGCGCGGGGCTGTGCCACGCCGGCCCGCAGCCCATGCATCCCGCGCGGCCGGGAGCCAGGAACAAGTAAGTGCGTGGTCCCTCTCCTCGTTCCCGGCACGGAGCCCTGGCCTCCCCCCCCCCCTCGCCTACCCCTCCCCGACCCGCTGCCGGGTCCGCAGCTGCCCTGCCAAAGACGATGAGCAGCAGCCGGGGGGTCCCCCTTGGGCTGCCCGGGCGGCGCCTCCTCCCGGGGGGCCGCGCGCTCTCCGGCCGGCGCGAGGCGTCCCGGGTTATCTCGCCAGCCCTTCGAGCAGTGCTGCCTCCGGGGCTGTGGGGCGTAGGGAGTGTCCCGCAGAGCAGGACGATCAGGAAAATACTCCCAGGAATTACTGAAGCCCCTGGGACCGTAGGTACTTTTCTTTTGCGTCTTTTGTCGGCTAAAGATGCCGGTTCCCCGAAGGCGCAGCCGCGTACCCTCCGGATGGCTGCTTTGTGGGGCTCCCGTCTCCGCAGCGACGGCGGGCTCCCTGACCCTCGCTCGGTCCGCTGCTCTGTCGGCTCGCCCCGCTCTCCCCCAGCCTCATTGTTCTCAGGGTTTACACTGTGGCTTCTCGCTCTCTCTCCTTCACCCCAGGAACTGGTGCGCCTACATCGTGAACAAGAATGTGAGCTGCTCTGTGCTGGAGGGAAGTGAGAGTTTTATTCAGGCTCAGTACAACTGTGCCTGGAACCAGATGCCCTGTCCGTCCGCGCTGGTGTAAGTCCTTGAGCCCAGGAGCGGGCGGGGTGCGCTGGGGCCTGGGCGGTGGGTGGCGTCGGAGCGCTGGGCTCCAGCGTAAATCTCTTCCAGGGTGAGAAAACTCAGCAGCTGGGAAGTCTGAGCGCTGAGCGCCGTCCCAGGCGCGCTGGGGTGTTTTAGGAGCGTGGGTTGCCCTGAGTGAGCATGGACGATGCGCACGACTTGAGAGGTTGTGATCACCCGGGCACTGGAGGGGTGAACGAAGCCCCCACCCCCACCTCTTTTTTTCTTTCAATTTTATTACTAACATAAGGCAGCTGGACCTAATTAGATCCATATTGTGTGTGCTGGGGCACACAGAAGATTCCAAAATGTATACTGCTAAAAACGTTGAAATGTGGGATTAGCTGAGAGGTTTGTTCTAGCCCATGTCCTAAAACAGGCGAGTTTTGTCCAAATGTCCCCATAAAACGGACCTCTTCCAGTGTTGTAGCTCTCTAAACTGAAGTCCCAGCAGTAACTTGCTTAAAGTCTTTTTTTTTTAATGTTAGATTTGGGGATTCAGCTAAGAGATTGTCAGGAGAAAATGGTCAACTTTTTGATGAGAATTAATCATCTTTTTGCTTATAAAGATTTCATCATCTTAAAAGAAAAACAAAGAGGAAGCAATGCAATAGAACACAAATTCCGTTAAGTACATCACACACATTCAATTCTCTTCTGGCAAGCCTTTGTGTTTTTGTGTAAGTCAGTTATCAGAGGATGAGGGATGTGAATCAATGGCTGTTGGGGAACACATGGGATAGTTGAAATTAATTGTTTTCCCCTAAGAATGCGTTGTTTGTCTTAGGGCACTGTTGTCATTACAGCAAAGAATAGCCAGTAGGCGGATCTGTCTTTGGCAAAGCAAAGGGACAGACTGAAACTGTACTCCAGGAAACCTTATTCCAGAAGGCAGTAGATGAGCCTTCAGGCTTTGTGGGGTGGAAGTGGTCTCTGGATCATTCCACTTGGGCTTTTGTGGGAACTGCAAACAGGGAAGGGATAATTCCTGTTAGGCCAACAGCAACCACCACCACCACCTAGAAGAGACCCCCCCCCATTTTCGAATAAACAGAGAAACAGGCAGACATGGATTTCTGGCTCCCTAAGTTGGATTTGTCAGAGGGAATGCATACTGTCATAGTGCCTGTTATCTCTGCGTGTTAATCTGTAGACCTCACAGTCCATGGCTGGCAGTCAGTGAAAAGAGAACCGAGTAAGATTTTTACAGGGTGGCAGAGACACGAACTAAGTATTCAACACGACTTGAATGGATGTGCTTAAACTTAGAATTATTAGTCAGGAATATATCATTTGTTTCACTCAAGAACTGCATTTTGTGGTTTGCTATAACCTGAAGGCTTGTGGCAACTCAGATAAATGAATTTTTCATTTGGGGAGGTCATGCTTTTCATTTAAAAGATGTTTCTTTTTAATTTTCTGAAATTCTTTTAGTGCTTGCAAAATTAAATGATGATTTAATTGTTGTATTTGACCAAAACTCAGTGGAACAGATCCTTTGTCGTCAGTGAGGAGCAAATCACCTCCAGATCAGCAGGTTAATGAAAGGCAGTTGGAGCATATTTTTGCCACCCAGTGGGAAGGACAAAAATTGCTATAAGAAATGACAGATGTTTCTGTTGTTTTCTTAAATAGAACCAAAATAAGTGACCTGGGTGTTTTTTTTCAATAATAGTCACCTAAACAATTCAAGTGTGTTTTTACATTTTAGATACTGCATTGTAAGTGTGAAATTTAAAAAATAAGACAGACTGTTTTAGCTGATCAAGCTGGAAATTTTGAAATTAGGTAGTTAATTCAGGCTTGACTTTTTTCTTTCTGTTTCTTTAGAGTTGGGAAAGGAAAGCTTTATCTTATTTTTCAACTACTAAATGATTCCTAAATTTTGATGATTGGTGGATGATGGAAGTCAAAGCCTCTTTATAAAGAGAATGAATGGATGTTTAACACGGGACTTCCCAGGTGTTTCTGATGAATCCAGAAGCCCCAGTCACTTCTCTCAATTCATGGGCTCATTGTCAGGTGAGGTCTTCATGATTTGATCCCTAGAACCTGAGCCGTGTGGAAGTGAAAGTCCTTTGGAAACTCATCCTGCAGTTACTGAGGGATCCTTCTCTGGTGGTAGAAGTGCAGGGCTGGAGGTTGGCCGAGATGCTGGAGCTAGAATGCAGTTTGGCAGCTGCGTCCAGCTGAATGCCTGGGAGTGGCAGGTGTGTGCCAGCAAGGCCTTCCGAGGGATGGTGGAGGGAAAGGAAGAAGAGGAACCAGGAAGGGGAGAGAGCAAAGCAAACGTTAGAGGAGGAAACTTCATCTTAGGGACCATGCGCATTTCCAGAAGGGTTAGACCTTGCTCCACTTGCATATATGAAGAGCCTTCGATTCCAGATTGTGAATTTGGGCATCGTTACGTGAAACTAGGAGCAGAGAGGGTTTTTGTATATGTGGGCATTTTGAGTCATTACTTTTCTGAAACTGTAAAGAGACTTTAGTGTGTCAAGTGCTGCTTTAGGGCTTTTTATTCCATATATGAGATTATTTAATTCTTGCAACAACCCTTCAAGATGAAAACCATGGTCCCCATTTTGCCAATGAGGAAAGAGAGGCTAGATGTTCCCTAACTTATCTACGGTCACGTGACGGTAAGTGGCTGAGCTGCCCGCAAACCCAGGGCTACTGGCCTTTGGCCCCATAGTGATGGAGAATGCATTTGTTAACGTTTTAGTGTGTGTCTTTGGTGCATTGCACAGTACTCAACTATTAAGAACAATTACACCTTCTTTCTTATTTCATGGAAGGCAATGCCCATGTAAAAGTGATTGAGAACTGTGTGTATGCGTGTGCACATAAATCTTTATTGTGGATTTGCTATGATGCATTGGACTGTATCATTTTTCATACTGTCTACTATGCTATACAGTTTGTTTTTAAAAATTTTTCCCCAGTTTTATTGAGATTTAATTGACATACAGCACTGCATAAATTTAAGGTGTACAGCATAAGGACTTACATATGTTGTGAAATGATTGCCATAGTAAGTTAACATCCACCATCTCATAGAAACAAAAAAAAAGAGGAAAAGTTTTTTCCTTGCAATGCAACTCTTAGGATCTACTTTCTTAACAGATTTCAAATCTACCATACAACAGTGTTAACTGCACTCATCATAGTGTACATTACATCCTCAGGACCTTATGTTACAACTGGAAGTTTGCACCTTTGACCGCCTTCATCCAGTTCCCTCTCACCCCACCCTTGCCTCTGTTAACCACAAATCTGGTTTCTTTTTCTGTGAGTTTGGTTTTTTTCTTAGATTCCATGTATAAGTGAGAATATATACCTACATACTATGTATACCTATAAAATTTGTCTTTTTCTGACTTCACTTAGCATCCATGTCACATGGTAGGATTTTTCTTTCTTTTTAATGGCAGAATAGCATTCCATTGTATGTATATACCACAACTTCTTTATCCACTCTTCAGTCAGCACTTAGGTTATTTCCATGTCTTGACTATTGTAGATAATGCTGCTGTGAACATGGGGTGCAGAGATCTGTCTAACATAGAGTTTTTGTTTCCTTTGCATATATACCAAGAAGTGAAATTACTGGATCATATGGTAGTTCTATTTTTAATTTTTTGAGGAACCTCCATCCTGTTTTCCAGAATGGCTGCACCAGCTTGCATTCCCCCCACCAGTGCAGGAGGCTTCTCTTTTCTCCACATCCTCAGCAGCATTTATGTCTTGTCCTTTTGATGTCTTATTTTAATCAAGTACTCACGGCCTGACTTGGGTGAGAGTACCTCCCCCGGGAGCACATTACTGTAATGGGAGGGGCCACTTCATCACCTCACGTCTTTAGAGCAACTCCATGGGGGCCATCAGCCCCATTCTACAGAAGGTCATGTCGTTAGGAAGGAGCCGACCTGGATCCAAATCCAGTCACATTTCCCGGTCTTAGACTTCCCCCACACCGCATGGTCCCTTGCCGTCTGGACCCACACTCGAGGGTGTGTGAGCGTGATGCCTGCCACAGCGCATGCTGGGACACTGGCACCTCTGGTGAGATGGCAGGGAGCGGCGATGGCCTGAGGTTTGCTAGGTCCCCCGCTACACGGATTGGTGGTGTTTGGCTGGACTGCCGGCAGGAGACAGCGCTACCTTCTCCTTCTTGGACTAGGCATGGCTTCCTTTCAGGCATCATTCACGCTTCGTGGCAGTGATTCCGGAGAGTCCACGACCTCCCACTCCGCTGCAGCGGTCCAGCTGACGGCTGTTAGTATTTGAGGCATTTGGGGGCGTCCTGTGTGCGGAGCAGCTGCTCTGTAGGTGAGGACATCCGGGGGTTCCCAGATGGAAGGCAGGCTTATTTCCGGTATTCGCTTTGCTGGGCTCCGGGGCCGAGGCTCCTTAGGGCGGGGTTTCCTACTCTGCGCCCACAAACTGACTTGGGTTTATCAGCATCTACCCAACCCCGCTCCTGCCCCCTCTTGGGTGTGTTGCGTCTGGGTGGAATTTTTCCTGTGAGCTCTTTGAAAGAATCTCATCAGTTGGGGGAGGAACTGGGTGGGACCGACGAGGGGGGCCTGTGGTGCTGTGATGAAACGGAAGAATTTGTGAATTTGTAGCAGGTGTGAGCTCTAAGTGCTGAGTTCCAGAACTCCTCTAATTCTCCGATTACAAGGGGGAACAGATGATGGTCATTCAGTTGGAGGAAAAGTTGCTTGTTAGAGAGCAATCTCAGCCAGGGGAAGCTTTTTTTCTTTTTCCTTTTAAACAAAGAACACTTAAGGCAGCGAAAATAATGAGGACTTACATCTTCTAGAGTAAATTCGACAGTTTTTCCGTCTCCAGGAACAGAATTCCATTCAACTGGAAAACGTGCCTCTTGTGGGCATAGCTTTGGGGGAATTCTTTTTCCTTCAGCTTTTACACATCTTACAATCAGTTGGCTG